TGCCACTGACCACTTTTAGGTCTCAGATGTGATTGACAAATAAACATTCTCAAAACTATTAATTATCATAATATAAAGTAAATACAATTTACTACATCACGAAAATTATTGATCATGGTCACGGAAATTGCCGATCGTATCGGGTGAACCGGTTCGCGAAAAGTGTACCGCAATATATCGTAATGCGAAGTTTGAACTGCAATATACCGGTTAACCGGTTTTTAACGCCCACCCCAAAAGTTCTATCAGTACATATATAGCTTCTTTAATATTGTGCAAATTCTTTGAAGAAAGACAAATTTGTTTTCGAAGACCGGAAAACGAAGATTAAATAGAGGTATGGGATTTTTCTGTATATTTTGTTTCATTATGAACTCCTTATTCAGATAACGTAAACAACTGAACGCGATCATGAAAGTGTTTAAACATCTCGTGAGCTATACAAACATATAGAAACAAGAGCCATGTGCATCATGTAAGTGTTTAAACATCTCGTGAGCTATACAAACATATAGAAACAAGAGCCATGAGCATCAAGACACGGAAAACAAACGTTTTCGAACACACAGATGAATTGTTTCTCATAGTATAACCTATACGCATTTAGATCACTCACAATGTTTCCGTGTACTTTTTCCCATGAAGCGTTGCTAATATAAACTGACCGAATCCAATATTTGTTTCCTTTCTGGCCCTGTTTGTTTTCTAAATAAAGTGAAAACTAAATATATTGGTGGGGGGTGAGGGGATGGGGTGGGTGTTGCCAGACACCTCTCTCAGAAATATTCCAATTGAGGGCCGTCTGTATTCAGTCGACTCTTGACCATCACAACAGCTAATCATCCTCAGCATCGATCCTTGGGATACGAAGTCACGCCATCAACCAAGTTGGGCATCACAGGATCCAGTAAGTCGCATCTTTAAAACCTGCCGGGACCAGTTCGAATCCAGAGATCCCAATGGTGTTCTTTGTGGGAACAATATGACGTAACTCCTCAATAATGAGAAGGTATACTAATATAAGTATATCGTGAGCATGTATTTATGAATCACTATCAAATTATGATGATACCATGATTTCGGAAAAAGGCTTCCCCTCCCCTACCGGATGCAAACTGAAATAAATTGTTCTGCTGAAACAAAACAAGAATATGTCAAAATTGGGAATTGCACTGGGCATTATTTGTGCTACTGATGCTACAGAAATTTAAAATGTCCACATAGAACTTTTTCAAAACTTTACAGAGGCCTTGACCGAATCTTGATCAATCAAACTCTGCCACAGACTCATAAGAGGCTATTTGAAATCTTTGTTGAAAAAGCATGGCCGCATTTTCCCCAAACGTTGAGAAACACAGGCTTATGCTATAATCGCTGTTTGCTTGTATTTCATCTTCTGATCGCCATAATTCCCGTCCTTCTGCATTTAACAGATATATGCATAATAGAAAGCTTAGATTAGCTGTAAATGTTGGAGAAGGGGGTTCTAAAATGAAGGAATGTGTGGGGTAGAAAACTACTAACTTTGTCGTTCACACATCCACAACAGTTCTGGACATATGTACTGTTATCACTTTCCCGGGGTTGTCGTGGTTGCTCTGTTACAGAACCAAAACAACTCCATGGTTTGAAACCCGTGTCATTCCAGAGCAAGTCTGGTGGTGCCGAGCACAGACATTTACTGGGTTCCGTCTATTCGTGAGTTGACAGAGTGAAACGAGGCTGTGTATTATTTCATGGATATTATCGTCAAATTAAGTCGATATTTTTTAACCTATTACTACTTTTAGTAATAAATATATCCATTAATCAACACCAATAACCTGTGAAATAAACTGGAGCAATAAAGTTTGAGAAAGGGATGTTTGTCGAAAGTTATTATTGCCATAAACGCACTTATTGGTTTCTTGTGTTTTCACCCAAAACGTCGATCGATTTGGATCCTTCTTAGTTGACGGAAACAGGCGACTGGCAACGAATGCCGTCATAGCTGTTAGTTTGTGATTCGATTTCATGATTAGAGAACTTGGTCTCACATAGGACCGAAATACAATTTGATGTCTCTCTCGCATATTGATTTTGGTGCAGCATCCACTGAAATATCATTATAAAAATATGGAGATAATATTTAATTTTAACGTTCTGACACTAATCTAATTCTGCCTGTTGTCTTTGGATGTGTCACGACGTTGCACGATGTTTTGACTCTCCTATGGAACAAGTCAATCACATCGATATGGTTCTCACGTTCAGACGTGCTCGTGGTAGGAATGGAACTGTGGATCACTCTGTCATATAATCAGCGTCTCAATTGAGATAATAAAAGTTAAAATATTCAAATTAAGTCAGGAGCCTTTTCCTGAACTTTTCATTGTTTTAAGAGTCTTTGTACCTTTAGCCAGTTTGACAGAAGCATCCAGTCCTATAGGCATGAACAACATATCCTTCAAGTGTTAATCATATTGTCAGCTATCACAGGAGTAGACGCTTGTTATTGACTTGTGACGCTCAGTGTATTTAAGTTCACGGTTACACACACGCGCGCGCACACACACACACACATTGTATAAATGTTCTTGTGTTAGGTTAACAGTGACGTATGAAGAATGATGTGTGAACATGAGGAATCTTACAATGCTTCCTTAATACAAACATTATTTAAACTGTCCTTGTGTATTTATTACAAATACATTTACGTTTAAGTGTTTGCGTGACACGGATGCATTTTTAGACTTCCAAACATGTTTAATATTGTAATTTAAGCTTTCTGTGAATGAAATTACCTTTAAGGATCAATATAAAATAACATCTCATTGTACTTGGTGGCAGAACAAACAATGCTTCAGTGCTCTGTTGGAGATACTATTTAGATAACGATATACTATTTAGATGACGATATACCATTGGAGTGTAAATGATCGCTAGGTGAAGATACCATTTGGAAAGTGTCCAACATTAGTGTATAAATATGTTCTCTTGGTGATTCTATTTAGATTATCATAGATACCTTCAGTGAAAATGTTCGCTTAATGGAAACATTATTTGGGATATCGTAATCTGTAAATCATTAGTGTTTAAATGTTCTCTTCTAGATTTAGATCATGGACATTTTGACTGCAAGTGCTGGTAAAGATACTATTTACTGACACAGATATAGAAGTTTCCCTTGAGAGGTTCTTACGCAAATGACTTTACAAAACATCCCAGTGTACACATTCATCATCGTGCAGAGTCTAAATAATTTAAAAGTACAACCACTGACATTTCTGAATCCACGCTAAATACTTATAAATAAGCACTATCATTTCTGCCATCACTATTTCAGCATTAAATAATATAAATCGCAGTTGCCTATGACAACACATATGCTGAAGCACACAAACAACAGTTACTTAAAGAATACTCAAACAAATGGTTAAATCGTCCAGAGAATACTCAAACAAATAGTTAAATCGTCCAGAGAATACTCAAACAAATGGTTAAATCGTCCACAGAATGCTCAAACAAATGGTTAAATCGTCCAGAGAATATGGTTTCAGTGTATGTATTCTACCGGCCTATCACCTATATTAGCTAACAAACAGACTTTGAAAAAAGTAATGTCTGATGACAAAAACTCCATTAATCATGGCGTCGATCTCTCAGTGGAGATGATATTCAAGCTAAGCCACGACGTGGATCAGGCCGGGCTTCATGTACAAGCTAAGCCACGACGTGGATCAGGCCGGGCTTCATGTAGAATGTCTTTCTTTGAATCATTGATTGACATTAATCGACCCACAGGACAACCTTGATGCATGTTAGGTATAAACTGCCATATAAGCATAACACTCTGCGTCTTGGATCCCAGATCCTTTAACAACGGGAAATTGCGACTTCAAGACATAAATCGTTAACCTGCCAAAGATATATATTTCACAGATAGTCTGAACATATAAGAGGAATGGTTTGTGTGCAGACAGAGCTTCTGCATCAGTTTTAGTACGTGGCTAGTCTGTAAGTTAATACTAATAAGTTAGTGTAAGTTTAAAGCGTGTCCTATACGCTTGTTGTTCCAGTAATGGGTTTTCGTCGATGGCTCTGTTAACTCCAAGGCTAGCACCAGTATTGTTACTTGCTATGAGGGACATCCTCTATACGATGGTGGCTACATATAAGGAATCCAATAACGAGTTAATAGCCGCTTAGTGAGGTACTTTTTCTTCGCTCAAACGATATCATGGACATGCAATCACTGAGGTAAAAGGAATATTGATTGGGTAAGGCAGTTCTGAACAACAAGGACAGGTCATTGATATATAGGGTTATTGTCTTTCCTACTGAGAAGAAAATTCGTGTTTTTCCTCTGGAAGGTCTCACGTATAATGAATGCATTATTGCATTATGCCTTACAAAGCATAAGAGAGACGCGCCATCTTTTCATTAATCTTGGGTTTGTAAGTTTGCTCGTCACATTTTTTAGAATAATAAACACCCAGGCAATACGTGCTACATAAAGTGATGTCTACATGGCGTGTTACATCTAGAAAATAGTTTGCAACCGGTAGGGTAAGACATTTACCTGGTGGCGTCAGATTTTCAGTGAACAATTCAAATAACGAAAATCACTATGTTGCCTTGAAGCCCAATGTAACCCGTATCGGCGTATATTGAATCCATATATTTCGAAATTTTGACGACATGAATACTGACATGAAATATCCCTATTGAGACATTGATGTTAAGTCATGTTACGTTCACTTCACATAGATTTTATACACGTATCTTTTCTGTTAGTGATTTTGCATCCTTCTCCCCACTCTCACTATGTAAACTTCAAGAGATTTGAATATCAGGTTTGGATGTAATTCAAAATGAAGAATTAGATGTTTCCCTAAAAATATCACCTTCTTGGGTTTGTTGCTCCTTCGTCTGAGTTGGTCATATTGACATGATTAGGAGAAATCCGTATCTGACTTGGTAAATCCCTCTCTCGAAAATCAATAATCACAAACCTTGAGTAACAAGCAAAATATATTCAATATCATACTATGATCTGATACAGTTACACATCTGTTTGTTGGACATGTTAGAAAACATTTAGCGTCCTTTGACATGGATTTGTGGCTGCGTGGAAATATAGAAACTCACCATTGATTTGACACACTCAACCAAGCATTACTGAAACTGACTTATGTCTACGGTGTCTGTTAAAATCCGGCAAATCCTTCACAGAGTCTTCGTCGTCTTCATCCCCTCATTTGATAGTGAGACGGACACCCGAGGGCATACAATCGAATTTAGCCATGTTCCCTTGAGGTGTTATGGAGAATTTCTAGACCGGCTCGTCACTAATCAGAGTTCATCGTCCGATCTTTGAAAGTATTTTGGCTGATAAAGATGTATCACAACCGCAGTATACTGTTCTGGCCAAAGTTGACATGCATGTTCAGAAACCTGGATGTGATTTGTCGAAGAGACTACATCTACAAGCAGAACACCACAAACATTCAGCATTACGAAAGCTCTTGGGAACCGTAGAAGCAGTGGTAACGGAGCATCGTGGCACACTCGCGTCGTTCTCTGATTAGATAGCACTTAGGACTGATTATCATGACATAGTGATAGCAAACACAACAGCCATCAAAACAAAACCCACGAAGGAACACCCAATTCTCTTCATGTCATCTTTTCCTTGTAGGTCCTTGAAGAGAATGTCAAAGAATACAATGTAAAATATTGTTCCCGTAGCAAGACTCTGTAGAATGGCCTCGGGCACGGTAACGTCAGCATACAACATAGCTCCTGATGATATAACAATGCCTATTACAATTCCTAAAGCAGATATGAGAGTAAATGTTCCAATACAAAGCCAGGCTGTACCCTGCTTCTCCTCTGTATTACACAAGTCCATTCCTAGTTTGAAGGCTAGAACACAGCGATGGGCACAGATCGCAAAACAAAGGCTCCAAACGTTGCTCTCAACACTTTGTAAACCTAGGGTCATACCTTCAAACACACCATGGAAGGAGAGCGCTGTTATATAGATTATCAGTCTAAAGTGTCCTTTATTAGAATAGTCAGCTTTGGTGAATTCGGACACTACCTTGTTTACCTCAATATCCTGGAAAGGGGCTGGCTCAATGTCCGATTCAAGGGTGTCCTTAATAGTTGTTTCATCCACCCTGTCGTTGATATGGAGATCTTCGGACAACCTATCCTGATTTCCGTCGGATCGGAGACTGGTGGTTTCCACGTTCATCTCCATGTGGTCAAGGCCAAGCGTGTCCTCTATTGGCAATGACTTCTTTCTCCGTCGTTTTGGTTTACGCTCTGCCTCACTTGCTTTAACATACATCCATTTAATGAACTGATCAACGAAAACAATTCCATAAAATCCGGCCATTATCAATAGTTCTGGCACCGCGTACGTTGACCGCGACCCCATGTTCCTCATGACGACTTGTATCTTGTTACGGGTGTCCGGCAGGAGGTGAAGAAAGCATGTCGCCAGAAATATACCACCCGAGAAACACCGAAGTCCACAGAGGAAGTACTCAATAGTTTGGCGGTTCTTGGAGAGAAAGTTCGGCGCATGCATGAGAATCCGAAGGGGGCATAGGCCCGTCAATACTGTCAGGATAGTCAAAATGACTAGCGAAATTATCTTCGCTACAACTACCTCCATATCTAACTCCTTCATCGGTCCCGGGTAGCCTAAAGGGCCCGACCCCTCAGGCAAACTTGGATTGGGAAAAAAAGATCGTTCCCCGAGACAGTTAAATCTGTCAAGGGGTTGGAACTATTTGGCAAAATCTTGACTCTTTGGTGGCAGTCACAAAATCCGAAGTTTAAGTTGCAGCTGTCAATGTGTATGAGTCTAAAACTGTCCAAATCTTGACTTGAACCATCGGTATTGTAGGGTGACTGTAAGCACTTGACGCTTTGCTATCGGAGAACACTTCTGTTTGAACATTCCTGGCTCACAGCATGAAAACACCGCCTACACGTCTCGAGCATACCTAGACTACTCTTCACTCCTATCCAAACGCACTCTCAGCCTGGCCCGGAAGCTTGGAGATACCGCACTCTATTCAGCTGAGCCAAGAGCCTCGAAAGCAGAGGAGGGTTATTCCAGGACAGCGAAACCTCCAGCCACTGGTCAAATCTGTGTTGACCATCTGCCGATCGAACTCTCCACGGGGCAGGTGCACACACCGAGCGAGACGATCAGAGAACTCGATAAAATATTGATCATTTCATTAATGCAACCTGATAGATGTTTTCTCACCGTCGCCTTTTTGCGGCTGCCAAACATAAGTTGAGAACTCCCCGTCAACCGCGACCCTCACTCTGCATAGTCTAACATGGTATAACATGGTATAACGGCACAACATCCATGGCTGTCGGAGTTCCGCATCAGTTTGCAGCTTTATCAGTGTTGCCGGCATTAGTCACCAAGTGCCGGCTGTTGTGACGTATTGTAGTAACTGTTTTTCACACTGTTTCCATTCGTTGTTAACACCAGCAAGATATGCCTTGGTTGTTGTCGCACTCCTAAAGATCATATAATCCAGTTCAACTAAGTCCAAATTTCAAAGTTGACGATATACTGTTCGTATTAATCTCACTCTTAATCCAGTGACACCTCTTCAGAGCCAGTCCTCCTCCGATTCCATATACCCGTTATCACCTGTTTATGTTGAAGTACTCCTCGTTTCTCACTTGAGTGTGTGTCCGTTCCGCTTGGTTGAAGGCTCTCAATTAGACGTCGTTACAAAAAGTTGAAACAGTAATATGCTAATGTTAACGAGTGGCTTTGACGCCAGGGATGTGTAGCCCTCCCGAGGGAATGATTTGCGTTTTGTGCTTTCCTTTCACTTGACAATTAAAACAGCACAACTCTGCGGAAAGTAGTCAGTATTGAATCTTTGCTTGGCTAGTCTGAGAGACCTTTCATATAAGTCGGCAGCCTCGCTTCATTGACAGGGTTTTGTACTTAACCGACACACAAAGCTTATTAGCGACAGAGTCAAACTGAAAAATATTGACTGCCCTCTACTATATTAACCGTATAGCTAGTCACGTGTTGACACTGCGCGCGCAATTCGCTCTCGCTCATCTGGTGCCAAGTCGTGGAAGCCTAACAGCGTTGGGAGACGGTTTAGAACAACCAGACATGCGGTGCTAGTCTGACATGTAAAGTGTATGTCGTGTGGTATAGTTATTTAGTTTTACCAGAGTCATACAGTCTATAACGGAACTCAATTCTGTAGATTCTAAGCATGTTAGGAAAGGCTCTGTAGAATCGTTGACTATGTTATTATCACAACCGTGGTAGCGAGTTCTCCGATCGGAGGGGAATCCTTTCGTTTATTGATCAGTTTCGCACGATAGTATTGTTGTATGGCGAGAGGGGGTAAATATAGACATCGTCAGTACTAATTACGAAAAGATTGATCGACGAATTCTGAAGATGTTACTTAAGTGGCAAATCTAACTGTCAGATCACATAAAGCCTTTTTCACACAAAACAGCTCTCGAGATTATTTTAAACCGACCTGGGGAAAGAAGTGCTTAAACATACTGTGCTTAGCGTTAGCAGATCAAACCACTTAAGACCCATTTCTGTGAAGAGCGGTGCTTGATTCTAACACGGACAGAACAATTGGTATTTGGGGACAAAATTAGCGACTTTATTTGTATCGATTCCATAAGATTGATTCTATATATGTGTCTATTTGGAGTAGATCTTTTGATGGGATATTCGTCAATATTTAAAGATTTATTTTGTTTGATTTTGCGCTTGCGTTATAAAACAATGTTAAAGCTTTATGTACGTGGTATTGGGTGCGTAACGATCAATAAAGAGACATAACTGGAACTGGAGAACTAGAAATCAGATTATATATCCGGTCTGGTCCTTGATGATGCTGTGAGGTGAAACAATCACAGTGCAAGCTTGATGTAGGAGGTCAACAACCCACTTTGTTACTGAATCATATCACGACGTTTTATTCCACTGTTGAGAAGTACTGTTAGAGTACAAATGTGTCCTTTCTATGAGGCGGGCATGCTTTCATAGCATTACTGGTAGTTTCATGTTTTAGCCAAGAAACGAATAGTGAGTAGCACTACAGATAGACTATTCCAGCTATATTAGTGCAGGCTAATAAATCAAATCTGAAAACTAGTGATCGACATCATGAACACCGGTAAACAGCGTCGGGACATGATGATGCATCGACCGTTGTAATTACTTACTGTCATTACTACTATCTTATGACAGGCACGGGACACTGAGGATATGTGGTAAGGCAGGATACGCTCATCTTTCCCCGAGCACCTCTTCTCGTGACTATTTTACCGTTAATCATAAACATGTGTTTATGATAAAGCCGGGACCGTCCAATGGGGTCTGTTGTTGGCAGAAACAAGTTATTATGAAGTAAGTCGATTTTATTTGAAATCCATCAAATGTTCACATTTTACACAGCTGCTTGTATTCAGTTATTCACAGTTTAAGCAAATGTACCAATCTCGCAATAACAAGAGTAATGATAGACTTTGCTCTTATTAGAGACCTAGTAGCGTAGATCGATGTTCATGCTGTTGATCACTGGACTGTCTGGTCCAGACTCGATTATTTACAGACCGCCGCCGTACAGCTGAAATATTGCTGAGTGCGATGTTAACTACAATCACTTCAATCTTATTAGAGATTTGTTTTTCCGCTTTTTCAAACATGCTATATACTCGTGAAACGTTACATGCTTAAAGGTCACATGCAACGTAAAACACAACTTTGCAGATTCTGATACCTTTCGGTATGGACTTACCGAAACAAATCGTCAAAAATGCAAATTCAACTTATAAAGTTGAAAAATAACGCGATGAAAAAAACCGCGCGAAATCGGAGTTCAAACGTTTCACTAATTTTCCCCAGACTTTTTAGGGGAAAACGGGTTTCAACAGCTGGGCTGCGCTCATAGCACGTGCGCAGTGAAATAGGTTCGCGCAACTTGGGACGCGGGTTGTCCGGTGAAGGCTTTGGTGTGAGCTATTTTCATAATGTTTTGTTGATATCTCACAGGCGCGAGCTTTTTATATGTTATGACAGTAAATTAACTGTTATATAATTTCACCACACGTTCTTCTTACCGAGTCACTTTCTCAGTTCGATACTTAAAAGCAATGTCATTATTTATCGTTGACAGAATTTCTAACTGTGATATAGATATGTCGTTGTCACAGACAAAACTCAATGTCTTGTTTTATTGACATCTGTGTGTCTGCCTGCCTGTCTGCTAATGACAATTTTCAATACACATCTGCTATCACTGACCACATGCAATTTGAACTTAACACCAATCAGGCTATACACCATAAACAAAATGCATCTATTTATGGCCCGAGTTTGGTCTCTGTCACATTATGTAATTACACAGACAGGCAGGTGTGATAGTTGAACACATGACATGTTATGATGTCTGTTGATTGCAAAATGTTATACACAAAAAATGAGCATGTATTTACAAAACCCAACATCTCTATATATACACACACCAATGAGCCGTGAAGGAGGCATCTGCTAATGAACCAGCCGTTACACTTGAGTGCACACCCACCCGCTCTGACTGGGTTCGGTATCCCGGCTGCTTCGTTTCGAGGGAGGTAAACCCAAGTACAAAATATTGCACTTTTGATTTGCGATTATACGCTTATAATTTTGCTTATTTGTTTTTTCATAATCAGCAATGCATATTATATGTCATGAAGAAGTGATAATTGTGTTTTAATTATGTTTGATTTTTTGTTTGCATGTGACCTTTAATTATTCAGAAGAAAATGTTTACCAATAATGAGAAATATATAAAAAACAATATACTGGAAAATATCAATGAAAACAATATAACCATGAAGAAGTACTGATTCTATACAACTATGGCCTTTTTACATATGTGAGTGCTGCATACATTCATATTACATGCTAGTAGTCTCATGTTGCCATCGGGCAGTGGGGTAGCCTAGTGGGTAAAGCGTTCGCTCGTCACGCCGAAGACAGGCCCGGGTTCGATTGCCCACATGGGCACAATGTGTGAAGCCCATTTCTAGTCCCCCCCCGCCGTGATATTTCTGGAATATTGCTAAAATCGGCGTCAAGCTAAACTCACTCACTCACTCATGTTGCCATCAACATCCCAGCTACATCAGTGCAGACTAATGAATCAAACCTGTCAAACAGGTGGTTGATGACATGGACAACAGCCAACGGTATAATCATGATGCAATTTATCAAAGATGCCTACAATCGTCATCTACGCAGATCAATATTACCTGTGAAAATACTGAAGACATTTACATAACAAATAATCCAAGACATAGGAAGAAACGTGATAAATAACACCGGACCAAATTCAAGACATCATGAAAAAGCCATTACAGATTAGATATTTAATGTCTTCTTAAGTGAATGACACTTTTACTTGTGTCAATAGCTGAAATTAACAATGCCCATATTGTTATTTGCATTCCACTCTCTGCTATTCAGGTTGTGAATTTCCTGATAACAGCCCCTCCACGTCCGTGACAGCTTACCTCTCGGTGAGATTACAGTGGAGGTACGGACAACGGCTTGTGTTCACCGTGGATGCCAGCTTGCTACAATGGCGAACAGACATCCACACGAGACTGTGAACAATGACGAAGCTCTCCGGCTTACTCGTTGTAATTACTTCACATGGACGAAACAGACGCTAATGTTGTAATCAGTCGTTTGGAAATATCAACTATACATCATCCAAATTCAAATATATGTCTGTGCTGGTGGAAACCTAACAGGAAGATGAATATCTCGGAGATAATTACACGTTCATAAATAAAACATTATGCTGATATTGAGATATTGAGAAATAATTGGATTTGTCTGCTGGCCCATCTAATGCATATGTATGTTTAATAAGATATATGGTTTTCATCCGAAAGCAGAGTAATGAAAAAAAGGCTTAAACAGAATTGTATTATTCAGTTAGACGAAGTTTAAAAAAATTCGCTTTTTACACGAGCTGTTCATTTCACTGGAATTCGATTGTCTGTCAATATACAGGATCACTAGATTGTATCTGCAGAATGTTGTTGGTAGAACATTCTGGCCTACAAAATCTGTTTAAATATTAGCTCTAGCTGGCTACATAACTGATATATATTTCCTTTGGCATTGAATGTGTCAGTGATCAATAAGTGGTATGGAACAGCAGTTAACGCATAATTTTGTTCATCTGGAAATCTAAACGAGTTGACTCGTCAGATTCAGGTTACAGCTATTGACAATGAGCATCTGTTACTTGTCGGAATTGATTAGCCAGAAGTATGGTAATAATTCATAAATGGAAATTAGCTCCATTTTTGTATATTGTGCATTCGTACTTAATAAACACCTGTCACAGAACGAGGACTGTTTGGGATAATCGTTTCTTTTAGTGTATTGACGTGGCGCGTGTTTGTGTTTCAAATGAAATGGCCATCTGGTACCTGAATATCAATGGTGTGTATATTCCGAAATAATATGAATATTGTATTGGTAAACACACTGCGTTATTTATTGCAATATGTGGTTGGAAAGGGACAATTTCATGTGACCTTGAAGAACGGTATTCCTCTGTATCTAAACCTCAGAATCTGTGTCTACACCTCAGAATCTGTATCTACACCCCAGGATTTGTATCTACACCTCAGAATCTTCATCTACACATCATAATCTGTATCTACACCTCAGATTCCTCAGAATCTGTATCTAAACCTCAGAATCTGTAGGTTCCTATCAGGTCCCGATCTGTCCTGAAAATAAACTTACTCTAATATCTTACAGCGAAACATTTTCGAACTCGACGTATAGGCATGTTATCACTGGCGTGTTCGAATTTTTACGAACTCTTTTCTAAAAATCGCCACAACGCTTATTTCGAACTTCGGGCAACTCTGTGTATACTGTCGACCTTCATGAGGTAAGCGAGGTGTCGCCGTATATACAATATAGAACCTACAACCAA